ACTGGAAAAGCCAGCATGCCTAGGGCATTTCGGGGCAAACACAGACTAAGTAGGTGTGGAGATACGTTCAAAGCTAGGAAGCCTCTGGAACCCACAGCTAGTTTCCAAGCCACTCCAGGGTGCTGCTGGGCATGCTGGGCGTGTGCCAGGGAAGATACTCCTTGGGGAGGAAGGATGCGCACTCCCCCTATACCAGGCCTCCTTCTGTGACTGTTTCACACATGTTAAATCCGCTAATGCTCACACAATACTGGGATTGATAGTCACTGCTGATAGTACTCGAGGTAAGGAACACTGAGGGAACACTGAAAGAACCAGGCCTACTTTCCCTAAGTATTTTGTAGAGACCTGGGAAAGATATGCAGGCAGCCTAGGCCCAGGTCCACACCCCCAGGCCACTTCACCTGACTCCCCTTCCTGGGATTCTGCCAGCACTCTCTGACCCCACTGTCTCCCTGGAGCTCAGCCAGCCCCAGCTGGCCTTTCCCTCTTCCAGCCTGCTCCCCACCTGCTCCTGGGCCAGGCCTCAGTAAGAGGCTTATCAGACATGTGTCGGGGACAGATAAGGCAGGGCCCCCCACAGGGCTTATCCAGCCCGGCCATCCCCGCCGCTGGGAGCTGAGGGAGCTGCCAGTAGATGGAGCCCCACCTACCTAGGAAGCAAGCCACCAACCCCTCCCAGACCCCCGCATCTCTCCTCGGGATATCACGGCTCCCTGTGATGTCATTGTTTGCAGTGACATCACTGCGTTGCCCCTCTTTCAAGTCTAGACAGGAGCTGGGAAAGTGGACTCAGAAAGAAGCCCCACTCAGGCTCCAGGTCAGCAGCTGGGCTGGGAGCAGGGGGTGGCGTCACAGGATACTCCCCAGGCCAGGTGGCTATTTTTGGTGTTGGCTGCTCCACTTATAGCCACCCCTCTTCCTGTCCTCCCAATTCAAAGAGGCTCTGGGTCCCACAGGGGCAAGGACAGCAGGAGAAATCTCCACCCCACTGCAGGGCACCTCTGGGGGTGGCCCTGCCCTCCACACAGGGAGACCAGCAATACAGTAACTGGAGATCAAGAGGAAGAGGGGCTTTCCACCCCATCCCTTGTGGAGCAGTGAGGCAAGAGAGATTGTTAGGATGGCCAGACAAATGGACACGGCCAGACTGGCTCTGACAGTCACACCCAACTTGCTGACACTGCTCACTGCCTCATACCAAAACTGTCACAACCCAGTAGCCACTCATTCTCATAGCTGTGGTGTCAGCCAACGCAGGCCATAAATGGCCACCTGCCCAAACCACCACTCCGGCACAGACACACTGTTGACCAATCCACAGTGAAGAGCAGGAGCGCCTCCTCTCCTGTGGCTGGATTCCTGCAGAGGGGCACAAATATCAGCACCTAGTAGACGCCCACAAGCATTCCGTGAGTAAATGGACATTCAATTACACAATTAGGGTGGGCCCGGAGGACAAGCCACCCTTCCTCTTGCCATCTCTCCAGACAGGATCTAAGCAGAATGGAAGCACTGCTGCTCCTGCCGGCACCATCTCAGGCTACTTCCAGTCATGGCCACCATCACACCAGTCCCTGAGGGAGCCCCAGTCATACAAGAGCACCCGTCCCTTCCTCTTTCCCAGTGACTTGGGACGCTTGCACTCTGAAAGTTGGGTGTTAGGAACCTTGGGTGGTTTAGATGTTGGCACCCTCAGCATTAGGACTCTGGCCACTGGGCACCGGAGACTCTGAGTATTGGGAACTCAGGGTTTCAGTTCTCTACTGTGTTGGGAATCCTGGCACCCTTGGCACTGGGAATTCTGGACTTTGGGAGCTAAAGTATTTAGGAATCTGGACACTGACTACTCTGAAGATTGGAACTGCTCTCCCCAAGACAGGGCCAAAGTCAATGCTTCCTATCTGCAAGGCTGACTTTACCTGGAGCCTCTGGGGCTCAGCTTTGATTGGCTTATGCTCTCAGGGAGAAGGGTGACATGAGAGTGACATGGGAGGTCCCAGGGACAACCCTTCAATTTGGAGCTCATCAAAGCCTCTGCCTTGTATTGAATCAGGACAGGAAAGGCATCAGGCACCAACCACTGGGCTCCAAAATTTCAAGAGAGGAGGAACCTGAGAGCAGAAGCCAGGTAGGGTACCTTTAATGATGTTTTCTGGAAACTGAGGCTGGGCCTCCAAGGAGGGGGAGGCTACTCCTCAGGCCAGGCTCTGACTTAAAGCAAAACTTACCCTCCCCTGTCTTCTCAGCCTGGTGCTCAGTTCACCTCCATCAAAAGGGCCAGTGCTGCCACCTCCTATAATGCCCTCCAGAAGTAGTTTGGGTCTGGCACTTTCCCTCTTGCCAGCAGACACATACCTAAGCTGACTCTGACCGTCCCAACACAGAGGACTTGATCCCGCTGGCTAATGATGACAAATGAGGAACTCAGCCAACCCTGGGGGATGTAGTGCTGGGCGCAGCCAACCCAGGAAATAGCACTGTAACTGGAGGCTCCTGAGACTCGCCTCAGCTCGCAGCAGGTGGGGCCCAGCCAGCTGCCTGCCCTCCTGTTGCCCTGCTCCGGGAAGGGGAAGACCAGGTCCAGTGGGACGTCTAGTCCCGCCAGACCTGATCTCCTTTCTCTCCTACAGTGACCAGGCTGGCTGTGTCCCTCCCTCCCTGTGGGCCGGATGCCCTGGGCAGGGACCTCACAGCCAGGCACTAGGGCCATCCAGCTCTGACCCGGCTAGGCCCAGACCTGCCTCCCTTGGGACAGCATTCTGATTGGAAAAAAACAGCCCTTTAGTTCCTGTCTCCTGGGGACGGCTTTTCAGACCAGAACCTTTCTCACAAGCCTCTCTCAGGACTCCTGGTGTGGCTGTCTGAAGCGCTTTGTGGATCAGGCAGTTAAAGCACACACATCCACTAATCTGTGTACACAAATATACTTGTGCTATGTCACAGTTAGTCTAGCAAAACCTTCAAGGTCCATGTCACCAATTTCCCCAAATACCTCAAAGGCAATCTTCTCTCTTTTACCGCAGGAACTGAAGTCCAAGCTGCCTCCCAGGCCCCAGTGAATCTCAACTTTCCTTCCGATAGAGCTCCTAAGTGCCGAGCTCTGCAAGTTTCCCCTGGCTTGCTCCTGGCCTCCTCAAGGCCCAGCCCCAGGGCCCAAGGCGCCATAGAGACAGGCTCTCAGCATCCTACACCTGGCCTCTCCACACAGATTCCTTGGGGTAATGGGAAGCTCTGCTTTCCCAGGACCAGGGAAATTCTCAGAATTTTCTCTGAGCATTCTCAGAATTGTCTCTGGACCTTCTAGGCTCACCCTGCCCCACTCACACTCTTGCTTGTCCCTCCTCCACCTTGGGGCTTCTTCCAACAGCTTCCATTCTGCCTTTCCCAGGAGGAAGTCCTTTTTGACCAGCTAGGGAGTATTCAGGGGAAAAGAGACCAGAAACAATTTTCAGGGAGAATTAAGTCCCAGTGAGACAGGCTTGGATCTACTCAGCCTCAGAAGCTGAGGACACACACAGCACAGGCCTGCTGCACTCTTCCAGAGGTGCCTACTCAGGCACAGTCAGGGGTGCAGACACAACAGGCTGCTCAGATAGAGGTGTGTACAAGCGGGTGTACACAGGAACATGCTCCAGTTCATTTGTAGGAGAATATAAACCTCAAACATGCTATGTCTGCTAGGTTTGGGGACGAAGTAAAAAGGAATGATTGTGAAAGCGTCCCCAGTGTGAAAAGATCTGATTTCTGAGCGCAGTCTCTGCATGGCTCTGGCCCGGGGAGGCCTGTGGATGGATGTGTGTGCGTGACAGACACCACAGGAAGTGTCGGGGCTGGACACCTGTTATCTTGTTCAGTGTCTCTGATTATAAATTAATAAGGTGGAATCTCACTCATCGATTGGTCTTGTGCAAATCTGACACATCTGTACCGGCTTCTTAGAGGACATTTCCAGAGAAAAAATACAATCGGTTTCTTGGCTACACAGTGATGAGGACTCGGGGTGCAGAGTAGAGTCTGTCTCTCCAGACGGGGCCTTCCCTGAGCAGATGCCCTGTTCAGGGTCCGGGTAGCAACAGCTCCTCTGGCACTCGCACTAAGTGGCCCCTTCCCATGAAGCTGGTCTTTCTCAAGGTAAGCAGACATGGGCTCCCTATTCCAGATGGCAGCACTGCTGCCCAGCAGAGTTCAGTGCCTTTCATATACCCTGGTATTGTTTCTTTAACTCACCCTCTCCACTTTGCAGGGGAGAAAGCTGAGGGTGAGCAAAATACTTTTTAGCAAAGTCTTCTTTACCTGGGACTAGAACCTAGGTATGTTTGCCCAAAGGAGGGAGGAGGAGACCAGGGGTATTTGCAGCCCAGGTGGCACTATCGACAGGGTGGGGCTGAATAAGCCCTTGTCCAAGAGGGTTCCTGGAGAAAAGGCTCCACCAGCCCTCCAGTTCCAACGAGTAGGACCCAGGCTTTACCCAGCTGTGCCCACGGTCTCCAGCGGCCCCTGCTCCAAAGGGAACGGAATTTGCTCTGACTTCTCTCTAGAGGGAAGGCAGGCGCAGAAGCGGTGGGGGCTGGCAGGCTAACAGCAGCCCCAACCCCACAAAGTTTCCCCAAGCCTTTTGGCTTCATTCCAGCCTAGCCCAAGGGGACAACATCTGCTCCCTCCAAGGGCCCCAGCCCGAGGGCAGAGAGGGAGGGGCCAGGGGCGGAGAACAAGAAGGCCAGGGGCCTGGCGGGCTAACAGCAGCCCCAACCCCACAAAGTTTCCCCAGGCCTCTTGGCTTCAAAAGGCCTAGCCCAAGGGGACAACATCTGCCCCCTCCAAGGGCCCCAACCAGAGGGCAGCGAGGCAGGGACCAGGGGCTGAGAAGGGGCTCTGTTGCGGAGCCCCACTCCAAGGATTCGTGGGGATCAATCATCTGAAAGCTGGAGCGACTTGTAATTTTATTCCCTGGTAGGAGGAGCCTGAGAAGTCCGCACGCGGGAGGGGATGGGACGGGGGAGGGGGAGGGCGGCCAGGGGAGCTGTTCAGGGAGGGACTTGGCTAGGTCTCCAACCCTTTTTCACTCTCCAAACTTTCACCAAACTCTTAGCCCCCGCCTCCACGAAACCAAAACACAACAAGCTCTGGAGGCGCAGCGGGGCGGGCAAGCTCGCGGCGGCACCGAACCTCGGGAGGCTGATGCAACTTTCCCTTTAAGAAAGCCACCTGGGCGCACCGCGGTGCGGACCCAGCACGCCTGGGCCGGGGGCTGCAGCATGGTAAGGGGGCGAGAGGAGGCGCGTGTGACTCGCACCTGGGTCCGGCCGAGCCGTCGGTGGCTCTGCGGGGCTGAGCCCCAGGACCAGCGTGTGTGTGTGTCTGTGTGCGGTGTGTGTGTGTGTCTGTGTGTGTGTGTGAGATCGCGCGTGCATGCGGGCATCTGTGGCTAAGAGTGTGGGCGCACGCACCGGGATGTCTGTCTGTCTCGCCGCTATGATCGGGGTAGGTGCGCGCGTCTGGGTGTCACCGCCGTCACCAAGGAGCTGAAGCAGGCAGGAGGCGGGGGCGATCCGGGATCTGGGAGCTGCGTGCAGACGCCGGTTCAGCGGAGAAGGTGGGCGCCGGGCTGCGCTGGCAGCGCCGGAACGGGAGTGCGGGCGGTCCGCCTGAGCTCCCGGGGCTTCCGAGAGGGGCCTGCGGGGCCGGGTGTGTGCCCGCTCGTGGCCCCCACTCCGTGCCCACTCACGCCACCAGTGCCCAGTGCCTATCTGGCCGCTCCAGCCGCTGGCCTCGCTATCTGCCCGCCCACTCGCCCGCCGGCTGCGGGTTCCCGCGCGTCCGCGGCGGCTGGGAGCTGGGGGTGCCAGCACCCTCGGGCCGCCTTTGTCCACAGCCTGCGTGGCCGCGGCTCTGGGAAGGACTGCGGGCCGGGAGTTCTTGGGGGCTTCCGCCCTCGAGGACATCGCGCTGTCCCCTCCGCAGTCCCCCTTCCGAGCGCGCGGCGCGGCCGCAGGTGAG